AATTTAGATATACATTTAAAATTAATTAAATTTAGATAATCAATATATAGAAGAGATAGTATTTTTATTAAAATATCTCATCCTTATAAAAGATCAAAAGTTTAGAAACTCAAATTACAAGTAGCAATAAAAATATATTTTAAAAGTAGAATTAGATTGACAATGTCAATGTATTTTAAAACTAATTTTTCCGACGTCTAATAATTAAGGATTACTTTCTCAGCTTTTTATTTAACCTATTTCTAAAGTTTATTCTTTTTCATTTTTAAGAACAATAATAATAATAATAGTAATAATAATAATAATAATAATAATAATGATGACGATGATGATGATGATGATAATAATAATAATAATAATAATAATAATAATAATAATAATAATAATAATAATAATTCTTGATGAGATCTTATTTTAATAAGTCCTGATCTGATCTGATCTGATCTGATTGGATCTGATCTGATCTGATTGGATCTGATCTGATGTGATAGGATCTGATCTGATCTGGTTGGATCTGATCTGATTGGATCTGATCTGATCTGATTCGATCTGATCTGATCTGATCTGATTCGATCTGATCTGATCTGATCTGGTCTGATCTGATCTGATTTTAATAAGAATAAGAAAAAATAAGAAAAAATAAGTTGAACGGAACGGGGCCTTATAGTTGTGGATAACTGGGTACGATTGCCTTAGGGTCCGTTTGGTATACGGAATTGATGGAATTGGAATTGAGATCCCATGAGATTCAATTCCATAGAATTGAATTCACCAATTTCAATTCATTTTTTGCACTATCAATTCCAAATTCACGTAATAATTATGCTACCAAACATAATTGGAATTGGAATTGGAATTTGAATTGAAGTCCTCAATTTCAATTCCATAATTTGAATTCCTTGTACCAAACGGGGTCTTACTTTTTTTCTTCTTTAGATTGCACCAAAACAAATTTCAATTTTCAAAATTAAATTTAAGCGCATGTACCATGGGGGGGTTTTCATGTGGCACGACACGCGTCCCAGCAACCTGCCATGCCGCACTCCCTTTGCAGCACTTCCGCTGCAAAAGTTCTCCCGTCACACGCTGAAAACCAGGTGCAATTTCGCAACGGCCGCCCACTGTAGTGGTCCGCTGCGGCATTATTATGTTTAATTTTTATTTTTTTAAATTTCAACCTTATAAGTTCAACACATATTTCACTTCAATTGATCAGCTCTCATCTCTCTCAATTTACCTATTTTTTTAATTTCTCTTCATCTCTCTCAAATCAAAAAAATGGCTCTTCCTCCAGTTGATAAGGTCATGGATATGCTAATTGCGACGTACCATGAGTATTTGCCATACATCTAAGAGCATGTTCTTTAGGACTTGAAAAAAAGAACTGTATGTTGGAAGAAACTAGAAAAAATTGGGAGGACTGAGAATGGAAGAAAATGGAATGACTAAAAAACTGGAAGAAAGTGAAAGAAACTGGAATGACTAAAAAAACTGGAAAAACTCCAAAAAATTGGAAAACCTAAAAAAATTTTAAAAAAAATTATTTTAGTGTATTTTATATTATCTTGATTCTAATTCTTGTTTTTATAAATTATTATTATTATTATTACTCCCTCCGTCCCAGAGTATTTGTCCACTTTCATTTTTACACACCATCCAATGCATTTCTTTAATTCATTTTATCTTGTAATTTGTATAATAAAAAATTATAGAAATTATATATTAATAATCTATATGTTAAGACAAATGAAACAAGATCACACATGACTATATTTAGGCTTACACATTGAGAGAATTTGATGAGTCAAAGTGCTTAGATGAACAGTTCCAAAAGTCAAAAGTGGATGAATATAGCGGGACAGAGGTATTATTATTATTACTAGTATTCTGACCCGTGCCATGCACGAGGTCAAATGAAATATATGTCGATTCTGAATTATTTCAATGAAATTTATTTTTCAAAATAAAGAAAATATATTGCTCACATAATTTTTAATACTACAGATGAAAAATGACAAAGTAAAATAAATAATATTTGAGGAACTAAACGTAGAGTTAACAATGTTTATTTTAATACCAAGTTTTCTGAAAGAGTTCAAGGTATACAACATTTTTTGTATGGTTGCAAGGATTTCCATTGTCATCTAGAACCAATATATTTGATCCTATCTTTGGCTTTACTCGTGAAACAACAACATAAAATTGATCATGTGTGAACACCGATTTGGTTAGAAATAATCCCATAAATGACAATGTTTAACCTTGATTTTTGTTGATAGTTATAGCAAAACATAAGGCGATTTCTTTGGAACTTCAAGGGTAATCTTAGATCAAATGATACTAAATTCATTCTAGTGATCTAAACTTTTTCCTCGACTCAATTTTCCGAAACCAAAATTGCATCAATAACATTATTCGCACCTCTTGAATGATTTCTCTTATCCCATTACACAATTCAGATGTTTGGTTAATATTCCTCAATAGCATAATTGGTACACCTTATTGTTAGTTCTCTGGGTTTGTTACTAAGGGGGAGAGCTTTTGTTTATTTTGTTTATTCTTTGTTGGCCTCAGTACAAAAAAAGTGGGCATTACCGACAGATCCTTAGTGACAGAAACCTTATTTGTCGCTAAAAAGAGAATATTACCGACAGATAAAATTATTTGAAGGAAAAAACTATTTGATCCACAGAAAGGGTAATATCTGTCGCTATAGGTTATCGTTTTAGCAACAAAATTATATCTGTCGGTATTGCTTATAGTTTTAGAGACAAAACTTTATCTGTCAGTATTGTTAATAGTATTAGCAACAAAAAACATATCTGTCGATATTGTTTATAGTATTAGAAACAAATATTTTTCTGTCGGTATTATTTATAGTTTTAGCAACAAAGTTTTATCTGTCAATATTGATTTTATTAATATTAAAATTTAATTTACATATCTTAATTTAGAGTA